TTTTGCACGTGGACGGGAAGGGAATGACTGCAACCAGGGGTGAGGCAGCACCGTTTGCAGAGACGGCAGGGACCACACTTCCGTGCTGCACATGTGTCCCTGTGCCCTGTGATTCGGCTGTCGGTCCCCTGGACTGGCAGAGGGCGTGTATCTACTTCTGAAACAGAGCATGTGTCTCACACTTTGTCACTTGCTTTGACCCAGAGAGTGGCTGGTGGAAGTGACCGTGTGTGACCTCAGAGTCTTCCTCCCCCGCCCTTTAGGACGCTCGCTACCTGTGAACAAGCCCCAGCTACTCTCCTGGAGGAGGAGGTTGTGGGGGGGGGGGCTCAGCCCTCTCCGAAATTTTAGCCCCTCCTGCTGAGCGTCCAGAAGCGAGGGGGTCCCCCTGCCTGCCCCTGGGTGTCCCTCCAGCTAGGTGACCGCAGATGCCATAAGAAACAGAGCTGCCTATGTGAGCTCAGCCACGTGGCCCATACACGTGACTGTGAGCAAATAAACAACTGGACAGTCCTGGACAATTTACTTAACTTCCTCAGCCCATTTATCGCCTGAAAAAAAATTACTCTCTTATAGGGATGTTGTGAAGATTCAATGACTAATTTATAAAAAACATCCAGCAATGGCTGCATGTTCTAAGTACTGGATAAACGGTAGTAGGTAAGTGTATATTTAGAATATAGCAACAACCTACAGCACTCGATGGGTAGTTCCAGGCGGCGATTTAGAAGCGGCTCTGGGTGGGCACTGGGGTCTCCCAGTTCAAATTCCTCCCCCAGATGGCACTGCCTCGCCACTCTCCCTGGCCCTTCTCAACGGTAGTTATGTGCTTGAAGAAGAAGGAAAACAAGCCCCCGGTTTTAAGGTCAACAATTGGTTTACGGCAATAAGTGAGGCTAATTGATGTCATGATGTCCCCGAGGGCAGAAGGATGAAACACGGATGGAAATGACGAGGAGGCCAATTTGCGGTCAGTGAGGGGCAGACGTTTCTAAAAGGTCATTCCCGAGCCAAGCAGGCGGCACGCCCTCGAAGACCTGGCCCATTCCCTGCTGCCCAAAGCGCGTAAGAACAGGGTCCATTTCTTGTCACGACTGCTGACACCTGACCTTGGAGATACCATCCATGTCTCTTCCTACAATTGTGCAATACTTACTCCGTCTCCTCAAAACTCTCTGCATCTTCAAGACTTACTCAACAACCCGGGTCTTAATATACAACCCATGCATTTAGAAATCCCACTGACATTTTCATTTGTCGACCTGGACTCCTGACCATAGTCTAGAAAGCAATGCAGGATACGAAGCCTTCGAACTGGCCTTTCCCCCTTTGACTGAGGTCAGTACTTAAAACAGCATTTCACACGGTCACCGTCTGGGCACGTGGCTAGAAAAAAGCCCTTGAGGTGCCGTTGCCCAAAACGTGTTCATTCATTTATTAATTCACTTGCACCTTGAATATTCCTGAAGCATTTGCCAAACTCTTCCTACACTTTGAACGTGGGTGTTGTGTAAGCCTGTGTGTGCTGAGAACAGCTACAGTCAACACTTCGATTCCAATGAAATAATAAAGCGCCTTTGATATTTCTCTGCATTTCGTTTCCAGGGTTTTGTATTCAGAAAGAGCCAGCATAGGTAAACCTATTTACCAATCTGGGCATGATTAAAATAAAGTACACGCAGTCTTTTTGTTACGAAAAGTCAGTCTCATTTGCTCTAATGTCTATACACGACTTGTAAACAAAATGAACTCTTGCTCCAGCATGACTGTGGGTTAGGACACAGACACCTGCGGCAGAGTTCAGCTGGGTGCTGACTGAGGTGTTTGCAGTGAGGTGTTCTCTACTTGCAGTCTAGAATACGTAGCTGCAGGTCAGGAGGCTAGTCCATGCGGCCACTGAACCATTTCCAACGTCCCCCGTTAAACAGGGCTCGTCTCTGCTTTGTCATGATAGTTCAGCTTAAACTGAGCTTGACAGATCGATTTCCCTTCCACCCTGTTGAAATTTAAACTTGAACTCAATACATTATTTATAGAAACATGATTTATACATATATTGAAATATCGTTGTGATGGCATTTTAAATGTCATCACTCAACAGCCTACACAGAACCTCAAGGAAAAGCAGGCCAGTGTTGTGGGACATGGTAGCCGGGACTGCATTGGACAAGGACGAACAGAGTTAATAAAAGCCATCCTTGATGTTATTTAACACAAAAGCAAACACAGATCTTTTTATACCTGACATTAAAAATCGGATCATTTGCCTCCCTAAAGAAAGTGCGCACGGCTCTTAGAGAGACTGCACGGCACGGAATAATAGCATTTCTGTTTACCCAGGTCTCCCCTGGCATTTCAGCGAGAGGTGGGGGTCCGCTGTGGTGGCAGTGTGTTAGACTTCAGTGCGGCCTTGACGAATGCCAAGGGTATAAAATATATATATATATATATATAGGATGGAAATCAAAAGCATGCTCTGAACACCTCCAAAAATAAGAAGAGAGGGAAACAAAGTCCTCCCAACCCTGTTTGCTGTAGAAATCAGTGCAATATTCAGCTGTCAATCTACGGTGACGAGGAGGGGCCCCGCCGTCGGGAGTGCAGGCCGACACGGTTTCCAGCAGCTGCTCAGCCGGGGCTCTAATTTTCCCTGCACTCCCTCGGTGAGCATTTAATTTCTTTATCACATGCGGGCTCCGCCAATTGTGCTTCATCAAAACTGTATTGTGAAAAATATTAATATTTCATATGATAACAAAACACCATAGAATAACCTTTGTCATGTGAAGAGCATCGACATTTCAAATGTCAAGGTTCTGAATTTTAATATACTTTGAGCAGCAGATTCTCGAGTTGGCATAATACACTGTAATAAGGCTACTGTAACTCGCTGTGCGGTGTTGTCACTCACAGGGAGGCACAGCACACACACCGTTTGAATGGGTGTCTTTAGGGAGGGGCCGTGGGGAGACTGCGTGTTTATCTGGCCGAGCTGTGTTCCGACACATTTCATCAACAGGAACACACAGAAGCTCAAAAAACGACGACATATTCACAACAGGTGTAATTACTGATCGGGGCAATCTAAGAAACCAAAAAAAAAAAACAACAGATCTCTAGAAAAGCAACGGGCCACCCTGCAAAATCGTGCACGGGAAATCACTGCTTTTGGAATCCGAGTTCCGTAACTCCAAGGCAGCATCACTGTTTCAGGTACGGCACTCGGACAAGTGCCCTGGAAATGGCCTTTGCACAAGTATTCCCTCTCCCCCAACATCAAAATGAGTCACAGAGAGGTCCCTCACCCCCACCCTTGTGTTTCTGTGCCAAACTGAATTGGCATTTGCTCCTAAGTCTCCTTCTGAACCAGCATCTCAGGGCCCTCCATGGAGAGATTAAATACAAATGAGAGGTTCAGAAGGACGTTAGCACACATGTTCACTTCTGTCAGTGACCTTAATAAAGGGGACCGCTGCCAGGTAACAGAAAAAGACAGCATCCAAATCAATGGATGTCACCAGCAGAGACAAGACAGATGTCTCTGATGAATCAGAAGCAAATTTTTGCAAGCAAGGAAAACAGCAAATTCAAAGCGAACACTTCTTCCCCCTTATTTTTGGCTACCAGTTTTCAGTAGCACCTGAGTTGCAACCTATTTTTGTTTTCCATATAAAAATCTTAAAAGACTGTAACTAATGTCCTCCAATGCAATCAGAGACTTGTTTTTCCCCAGGGATTAAGCATTTGGTTATGGCTTCCGAGTCATTGCTCAAGGGTGAATTGAAACAAAGACAAATACATTATCAATATTGCACGATGCTCTAAACAATCGATTGATGATATCGTATAGCTGAGTTCAGTGTGTTCTATTTTTATACTTTGTTTCATCAAAGGATTTCTCACTATGCAGCCAATATCTCTTTGAAAAAGAGCCTGCCTTTAGCAATTTCAATATAGATACATTCACAAAGTGTTTTTCCCATGCACCGGTTTTCCCCACGGGGGAGGGTTCTCTCCATTTCCCCGACTCCACTGGCCTGTGTACAGCCGTCGGAGGAAGGCGGACGTGACGTTTCTGCCACAATGGCGCCAGCAATTGGTCCTCGTGAGAGGAACCAGCGCGCAGTGTGTGCTTAATGGGGCATATTTGTTCTCCATTATCGTCTTTGCCTAAGGACAAGGCTGATTTAAATGGTGATCATCTTTTCCTGGCCAGTAGGTTCACACATTCTTCTACATTAATTATTACTAACTACCAGTTAGGACTAAATACCTCAATAGGTCTCACAATTAAAACTGTATCAATAAAGGTTTAGGAAATGTGAACTTCTGCCGCTCTTTCCTACTTCAAAATCAGATGCGGAGGCAACCCTGTAGGGCAGGATCACCGGACTTTGAAGCCGCACGCTCTCACATTTTGTGTTCGTAAAAAAAAAAAATCAGCTGCAGCTGGAACGTGTAGTTTATTCTCTACTAACCTGGGCTACTGACGGTGTGAGTGAGCAGAGAGTCATGATGTCAAGTCAAACTCAAGGGCACACGTCCGGGGAAAGTGGGTTCACGGTGTGACCGTGAGCTACACAGAGGCTCCTCCCCAGGTGGACTAGACCCCAGGACACTGTGCACACCGAAACCTTGGGGTCCCCGGCTGGGGGTTGGGGGGCCTGCACCATGCACACGCAGCCTGACAGCATAGAACAGTGACGAGCGCGGAGACAGACGAGACCTCACACGATGTGACCGCTGAAAGACACGGCTACCTGTGTAGCATTTAAATTTTTGGTGCTCTCCGGACCCAACAAGGTGAGCAGTGGACGTCCTGCCCAGCTCGCCTTCCCTGGGAGGGAGGGATAGGAGGGAACAGGGGCAGTGAGCCAGTCCTATCTGGAAGTTCAGTGAGTATTACTGCACGGTCAGAAAACCCTTTCCAATATCATGTTTATGCCCTAATTAAAATCCACGCGAGACAGGGAAAGACGACTTCAAAAACACGTTCTTACCTTGTCCAGAGAGAAAGTTTTGGTCAGGGCAAAAGCCCACCCCTCTTCGAACGCCCTCCGAATCATCGCAGAGCTGGTGGCCGGGGTGGCGCTGGCGAGCCCAAAGGGGTTGGCGAACTTCAGCCCGGCCATCTCCACGCTGAGGTCCACCAGGTCGATGGGCGTGTGGAAGAGCGGCAGCTCCGGCTGTGCGGGCACCGCAGCTCCGTGCTGGGCCTGCGGAGAACAGGTAGGCGTGACTGCGCTTGTATGTGTCCCGGCCGATTTCCCGCGTCCCCTTTACAGAAAGCACTTCGGCTCAGCGCCTGACTTCGCGTGGGTCACATCGGTTTGTTCAAAAGGATGAAGTCTGGCATTGAGTCGGCCAGCGGTGAACCCAATGCAGAAAGCACCCTCTTTTCTCATTGAAAAGGCGGCACCAAGAGTGTCAACAGAAATGCAGCCATGGAAGAAACAAACGTACACTCTGTTTAGAACAGACTGAGACCCAAACACACAGAGGAATGCACTTGGCACTTATCTCCCCGGTCCTGTTAACTGGGCCTCTTTGAACTTGCAGAACCGCCGTTACTGCTTAGAGATGCAGACCCCGGGGAGTCGGGCAGCCCAGGTTCCATTTCCTGTGGACGAGGCTGCGGGAAAGGCACCCGGCACGACCCTGTCTCTCCTCCCCCACCGTGGTCCCCTACATCACAGGGCCACTGGAGAGTGCAGGGGCTCATCGGCTCAGGGGACATTTAATTTGGAAGGGGGGCCAAGTCCTCCTGTGCATGACGGAGCTTCTGTTTTCAGAAACTGGACAGTCGGAACCGATATCCCCCATTGGCTTTTGAACCGTAAAACAGCCACTGCTGAAGGAGCGTTACGCGGGAGCCCCTTGCATAAATGGAAGCACTCGGCAGAGGGCAGGGCCCGGGGAGCAGCGCCGTGCTAGCTGGGACATTCTCTCTTTCTCTCTGACTCCTGAGAGCTCACTGAGAACCGCCTGGGGCCTTCTGTTGGCCAAAGTGTCTCCATCTGTCTCCCTCCCACGTGGCCACCATGGTTTCCAGGACCCCAGCCGGGGCCCGGGCCCCTCCCCAGCCCACACTTCCTACTCTCATCCACTAGGGCTCACAACATCCTGCATCGGTCTGCAGGACACCCAGGGTCTCCAAGGAAGCAACAGCCGTAATGCAGCTACACGCACTGACTCTTTTTCCTGCAATGCCCCTTCCTGCTTTGCACGCCCCGGGCCAACCTGCCCGAGTCAGTGCCTTGGCCGTCCCCGCGGGCCACTCCCCTCACGCCCTGAACTCGTCCGGTCACAAGAGTCTGGCTCCCCCCTTATGGACGTGGCACCCAGCACCGCCCTGGGCAGGGAGAGACTAAAGCTATTTGTTGACTGCACAGGACTGGTGACCTTATGCTTCTGCCTCTTTTTGACGTCAGTGTCGACAGTAAGGTGATAATCCGTGGGATGAACTGACCCTCAGCTGTACTCCAGATACATGGAAGCCCATCTTTTGTTCTAATTCCTTCTAATGTGGAGTAAGATCCCACTCTCACCTCTGGGGGACCTTTGAACGTAGCAAAGGCCCTCAAAAGAGCCCTCTAGTGGGAACGGTGAGTAATGCTGCGGGCAGTTAAGTTACTGCGGAAATACACGCATGCTATGGTCCTCTCCCATAGAACATTCATGGACCTCACAGTTCTGCCAGGCACAGGGCAAAATAAAGCGTTTGCGTTTGCAGCCCTCCGTAATCTGTAGCTTCCAGCTGAGAATGGGCTCGTTTGGTTATAAGCAACACAATGAGCCTCTGGTGTTTACTGGACGGGCACAGAACAATCTCACGACCGTCCCGGGGGCATGCAGCTGGGCCCCCAGGGAGGGCAGGGACCTGCAGGGGAAGCGCCCCGCTCTGGCTCCGCCTCTACGAGCTTCTGGTCCACTCTGCCGTGTCGGCCAGCGAGAGCCCTCTGCTCCTCGATCCAGAATGGTTGCTATGTGCTAGGCTGAGACCGATCATTTTTAACTGTGCATATTAAAGACATTCAGAGAACTTAAAAAATGTTGATGTTCTGGCCCCAGGGTGTCAAACTCATTTTCACCAGGGGCCACGTCAGACTTGTGGCTGCCTTGCGAGGGCCGAGTGTAACGTTAGGACTGTATCCATGGAACTGCTCCTTAACAGTTAGGTGAGAGCTCGGCTCTGCCGCCGGGTAGAAACAAGGTGCCGGGCTGGATAAAACCAGATGGAGGGCCGGATTCGGCCCGCGGGCCTTGTGTTTGCCATCTGTGCTCTGGCCAGACAGACTCAATACTAATTCCGTCAGAATCGCTCAGGGCAGGACTCAAGCACTCATGATGATGACGATGACTATGACCATTATTTAACTCTCACCAGGGGATTGCAATGTGCACCCAAGGCTGAGAATCACCGCTTTAGCATGTGAATGCTCCTCCTAATTCCTCATCCTCAAGGCAGACATTTGGAGCTCTACATTATTCAACTAAATGGCTACAAGTTTCTTTCAAAAGAACGAAGTACGTTTGTGAGCTGGGAAGATCCTCTAAAAAGTGCTCACATGGGGACCCTGACCTGCTTATAAAGTATAGATGTCCAAACTTCGAGGCTGACCACAAAAACGGGGCACGCGCTTTACTCTCAGAATCAACAATGCACGCACCTATTTGCAATAGCACTCGTGCCCGACTCGGCGATGAGTGTCCTGTACTTATGCTTTCTGGTCACAACTCTTCAAATCAGGCCCTGTTTCCCACTGAAGGAGGAGGAAGGGAGGCTTGAAGGAAGTCCACAACGTGTCAGAAGATCAGCAGCTAAGGAGTGACAGAGCGGGTCGTGACCTTCCAGTCTGCACTCCCTGCTGCCCACGAGGGTGCCCCTATTCACACCACCACCGCCTGAGCCAGGTGGCCTCAGGATGGGAACCAGCCGGGAAGTGGCTCCCAATGGTTCGACGGAACACACACCCCCTCACCCACCCCCACGGAAAAACCTCTTATCAGAAATAAACAATGCATGCCATTCAGATACTGAGAAGAAAATCGATCTTCCTCCCTTGCATCTGAGAAGGGAATGGAAACACACAGAATCTTCAGCTATGGTGGCCGACAGTTTCATGGCCACACTGCGCTTCTCCGTCCCGGGCACTCGTCTGCCCCATGCGGCTGGGCACGGGCTCGCACATGGACGTGTACCGCTGGGGAGAAGCAAGCCGCACCGTGATTATGCATTCCAGTTGCGTTTTCCCCTAATTTGCTTTACTAGAGTAATTTTTTAGAAAGCACTGTTAAAAGCAAGACCATTGGTAGTGCTAGATTTGATTAAAGAAGAGAAAAATCCCCCGCCATGTTCCATCTGATTTAAACCATCAAACAGCTTTCACGGGCTCATTTTCTTTCGACTTCATTGTGACGGAACCACAATGGCCCCTATCTTGGGGTGCAGCTGCTCCAGAAGCACCCATTCTAAGGCTATTCTAAGGCAAAGAAAAAAAATAGCATTGTGCTGCTACTTACGGCTAGATTAATTCATAGGCGGGATTAATGCATTAATTAACTCCAGCTCAGTTACTCTGCTCTTTGAAGAAATATCTATTGAGGGGAAAAAAAAATCTTGCAAAGCAGAAATTAATTTGGGTTCGCTGTTTCCATGGTGGAAAGGCCTAGGTACAATGATTATAATTGTAACATAAAATCAGATTCCATCTCTCCACTTGGAGAGATCGCTATTTGCAACAGAAACTTTGGAGAAGGCATGAGGCTACAGAAATGTTTCTTTAAAAAATGATCCCCTTTTATTCACTTTTGAAAGGATATATTATTCACTTTGCTCTTAATAAGATATTTGCAATCTGAGCACTGAATGAGGACACAAAAGTAAACATTAACTCTGGTGATTGGGACCTTTTCCCCGTCTACACTCTGGTCTCCAGCCCGGCCAGCGTGGCTCAGTTGGTTGGAGCCATGTCCTGTAAACCAGAAGGTCCTGGCCCCTGAGTCACACAACCCAGGAGGCATTTTAAAAGAGTTCAGGAGTGAATTGACTTTTTAGACGTGGCTTGTAAGTTAGTCAAAGATCCCATCAAAATAATAAATAACTCATTGCCAAACTTTCTCAGGTGCTAATCAGGAATGTAGCAATTAGTGTGGTCATGGACCTGGGGCAGAGGCGGTGACAGTGTGCTGGTAATGGAGGGGCTTTCGGACCGCTTGGCGCCCAGACCGGTGCTGCAGAAGGCAGATCCGTGGCGCACACAGGAGGCCACGAGACCGAGGTGGGAGTGAGGGAGGGGAAGGAAAGAGGCGGACAGGTAAGACAGGTGACGGCAGCAGCGGTAACTTTAAGACTTGGAATGAAATGCTTGGAGCTGTGAGTCAACAACCCTCCAGGGAGCATCTGCATTCATGCTTGCCTGCTGCCCCGAGGATTTCGGGGAGAAGTCTTCCAAACAGGCCCCGGTGGGGTGGGATGGAGGCAGAGACCAGGCAGCTGCTCGGAGGTCACACTGTGCCCCTGAACAGGTCAGCCGGGCCGGTTCGGCACTCGGCTGTCTCACCTTCAACACAACTAATATCGAGGGTGCTCGTGGGGGTCAGACCAGGAACGTGGTTGTGCACAGGCAACGCTCCCTTGCACCTCCCGGTTTCCACCCGACCCTTCCCTACGGCCCGCATCAGCGAGCTGACCCGGTGCCTGTCGCCAACGACCACGAGGGTCCATGAAACCTGCCCCTGCACCTCCAGGGCTCCGCAACCAACGCGTCCACCATATTTACCGACAGGCGTTTTGTTGGCCGACCACCTACTATGAGGTCGAAGCTGTTCTGGGCACGAGAATACCGCCAAGAAAAAAAACAGACAAAAAAACCAATTTAAAAGCCACATTCCAGTGGGGTGTCGTCTGGTGTGCAGTGAACGGTACGGCCTGTGGGAAATGGTCCAGAATGAGAGCACACGATTCGGAGACCAGTGGCGTGGACGACAGACGTCCAGAGCTGCTGCCCTTGTGGGCCCCGTGGGGCAGACGGACCAGGATGCACTTGGGTGCTCTGCCTTCCCCACGCTCAGGGGCAGCTCAGGCCAAGACAGCCGAGAGGAGGAGGCCGGTGGGGACCCCGCAGAGCAGAGCTGTGAGGCTGGACCCGGCCTGGCCGCCTCGGAGAAGCCCCCCAGGTGTCCTGCTCTTGGTCACGGACGTCACTGCCGCCTT